CGGCCAGTTGTGGTTCATAAAAATTTGTGTTCGCTCCGCAGAAAAGCACGAGCTTGCAACGCACGGGCTCTTTCCCTAGTAAAAGATTAAAAGAAAGATTACTGCCATTTTTCTTCGATATAGTAAACCAGATGAACGAATTACAGTTGCACCCCCTTTTCTCTATACCAAGTGCCAATATAAAAAGTTCGGAAAATAAGTGGAAAATAACCCGCGGTTTACTTGAGTGTACCTCACCTCCCCTCCCCTCCCCGATCCTCTTTCTCCCCTCGGTAGAGCCAGGGCGCGACCGCGCGAAGGAAGCAACGAAAGCCCAAAGCTGGCGCATCCTTAGCACCCAAGGGAAGAAGAAAGAGGCGAGAGAGCGAGGCGTCCCGGAGGCAGAGCCAAGAGGATCCATGGATCGGCCCCAGGTGATTACCCCCTAATCCCATTCCCCCCCACCTCCTCGTCGTCTTCTTCGGCTCCGCACGGAAGTTCGGATCCGAGCTCTTCGCTTCGCCTCTACCTCGAGTAGGAGGAAGGACTTGCCCAAGATCTAGCGTTTTCTTGGATTAGGGTTCTTGAGTCCGGCGTCGGATCCAGTCAGGGGGTTTCTTGGAACTGTGTCTGAATCTCGATTGGTCGCAAGAGATACATACCTACTCGGTCGCATGAGATCTAGGCTAAATTAGATCAAGATTTGGTTTCGTCTAGTAGTAGGATAATAATAGGTGGATGCAATTGAGCTGGTTTCTTGGGCTTAATTGGCTCACTGTTAAATCCTGTGGCTGGGAGTCTAATATCTTCTGGCCAGTTTTAGATCTGTTGCAATGTGACTGACTGAATGAATGATGGCATGAACGTTGTTGCAGGTGGTCAGCGAGAACTATGCCAATCCTATAACATGCCTCTTCCATGTGCTCTTCAAGGTACCTACCTGATTCTTCCTCCACGGAACCCGCATGCGCTGCTTAGGATTGTTGCTTGCATTGGATGCTTATTCATTCTTGTGTGTCTCGGCAAAAGGCGTCGGCACTGGCGTTCTACATCCTCTTCTCGCTCTTCGTGAAGAGCTTCGTCATCATCTTTGTCATCACTGTGCTCCTCGCTGCGCTCGACTTCTGGGTGGTGAAGAATGTCAGCGGAAGGATACTCGTCGGGCTGCGGTGGTGGAATGAGATTGACGATGATGGCAACAGTGTGTGGAAGTTCGAGTGCCTTGACGGGGAGGTTCGTGCTTGTTTTGTGTTTGACGTCTCTTCTGCTGTTTGATGGTGAATTGATGACCGAAGTGTTTCCTTGCAGTCTCTTGCTCGGATGAACAAAAAGGACTCGTGGCTGTTCTGGTGGACTCTTTACTTGAACGTAAGTGATATACTATCTTATATTGAGGGTTTAATGCAGTGCATGCATGAGTTTCAACATATTTAGTGATTTGGCATATCTACAAGCTAAGACTTCTATTGAGATCAAGCATATTTTGACATTAGATAATGTTTGCAGTTAATAACATGAACCAATCAGTTAGTCCTAGGCTCAGATAGAAGGCCATCATAGTTTACCAGTAACATTTTCCTACTACATCTTCTTACTTGTTTTAGTTCTCCTTTTGCTTTAGCTATATCTATATCTATGTACCAGTTGGTATGTATTTATAAGGTCAGTGTTACATTGATTTTCATCAAACTACAGGATCTTGTTTTAAACAGGAGAAACACAATGTTTATAGTTAAGAGTGCTAGAGCAGTGGTTAAGATCCATTAGGATAAGTCAACATAGACATCCTTGGTAATGGTTAAATGCATAGATGATGCGTTGTGCCTTTTGCTTTTACATAAAAATATATATTTGGTTTCAGTTGTATCTTGGGTGGACTGTGGGATCATGATACGTATTACATAAACAAACCTCGATCACGGTTACATAGATAATCAGCCTTTTGTTCTAGATGCCGAGGTAGCATTATGGCTATTATCCTTGGCCTTGTAACTTGATGTATCCTGACATTTTGGTTTCATGGTTAATGGAACTGGGCGAGTCCCTATTCTTCTAAAAAAATATGCTCACAATGAGATTCTATCTTCATACTAACTCATCAATCCCTTTACTACTAGCATCTATTAAATGTAAATATTATGTGTTTGTGTTCTTTTTCCCTATACCTGTCTTTATGTTCTTTTCCCCAGTGTTACTGCTAGACCATAGTACACAGCACTAAGTTTGGCTGCTGTATTTCTCTAGAAGAATTTTCACCTAATGCAGCTGATGCATAAAAATCTTGAGATGTAGATAACTGAGCCTGTGTGCCAACACTACCATAATCTATGAAAGTGTTCTCTAATCCCTTTGATACACTTTACTGTCTTACTAATTAATGTAGTAAGTAATTATATTAGACTTCTGTAGCTTTGTTTGAACGATAGAGAATATATAACAGCACCTCCATGTTTCAGGCTGCTGCATGGATCATTCTTGGGATATTTTCACTCATTAGACTTGAAGCTGATTACCTTCTTGTTGTTGGAGTTTGCTTGACTCTAAGCCTTGCGAACATCGTGGGATTCACCAAATGCAACAAAGGTATGGCATACTTACATTCTTGTCAACATTTATCAGATGGGGGGAAGTTGTTTTGTACTGTATTGTGCATTGCCCTCACAAACTGCTTATTTATTCTGATAAGCAAATAAGCAACATTATCTATTCGAAGTAAGATTCACTGATAAAATGTTGTAATTCCAGTTCTGCATAACTTCATTACATACCTTTGATATTATTTGTTGGTCTTTCCCTTTTTTGGAACATTGAACTTGTCAGTTCAGCTTCTTGGATTTACAGCCAGATAGTTACTTTGCATATGTGCAGTAACAGAATAACATGAAATTACTATTTTTGTTCTTTCAATCTTCATTTAGCCTGTTGCATTCCACTTTGCTTTTGTTTACTTTATGAGCTCTGCTTTTGTGGTATTATCCATTTACCTTTTTAGAAACAAAAGTTATGTGTTCTTTGTTGAAGCTTGTTGTGATATACCTATCAAATCTTACACACTTCATCGTGGGCATTTATATTACAGATGCCAAGAAGAACATCCGAGCTTTTGCTGAAAATGCCGCTCAAAACGCCATCACATCCCGCATCACATCATCCCTGCAGTCAGCATTCGGTATCTGAAGTCCAGATTACAGAGGCCCAAAATTACATACAACTGTGTACCATCTGTCAAAGAAGATCAGCTTGTGATATCCCGTTTTCATGTGATTTTGGCTTATATACCAAGTAGGTCGATTTTGATTGGAGTGACACTATGATGGAATACAGCGCACTAATTAGCCCTAGGTAAATTTACACTTTCTCCTGTACTAAAGAGCATACTTTCTTCTTCTCTTGTACCCTGGTGTGGCCTAGAGGTTCGAAGCATGTCTTCCAATGCAGAAGGCCTTTTTTGTTTGTGAAAAGGACATGGTTCTGTTATGATTCCTCACATGTTGGACCTGCCTGAGTTCTTGCATGTGCCCTACTAGTGCCCTGGAGACGCAGTTGTCTGTTGTTGAACCTTGAATCAATCTCACACCAAATTTCACCATCTTGTACGCATGGTGAGAAACCCTAACCTTGTCGCCTTGATGAGAGCTTTGTCTAATACATTCTGACGTACATCGCAGCCTTAAAGACCAACTTAAAGACGAAGCGTTGCCATCTGCCTAGCGTAGCACATATGATGACTAAAACCCTAACCTATGTACTAAACTGTAGCTGAGGCACAGTGATTACCCTCCCTGCCATCGACCGTCGAAGTGGCAGGCAGAGAGAAGGCGAATTCGCGGGCTCACCGGCAAAGATTGAAGGATGGAAGACTTTACCCTAGTCGCCTTTGCGGGAGGGGAAAAGAAGGAATACTAAATGATTGTTTTGTTGTTGCACTTTGTTAATGCCATGCAATGTTTTTCTCCTTGATTGTATGCCCAATCCAGAACAGCAGTGGTGTACACGATTGAATGTGACAACAAACAATGTGCAAAAAAAAGTGATTAACTTAAGCAAAAAAAAGTGATAACAAACAATAAAACAGCAAGGAAAAAACAATGAGTGATGGTGGATTGAAGATTCAAAGGACCTCTTCAATTCACAGGATTCTAAACATTGTAAGAATTGTATAAAGTACATGTTAGATTTTTTTGTTATGAAACCAGCCTATCAGGGCTTGCATTTTCTTCGATTAATTTTAGGCTATCCGTCGATGTTCGTTTAGTGAGAGAAGATGTCGACTACGACACGTTTGTGATGACTTCGTCAATCTTAAGATGGTGTGCCGGCTCAGTATCTTGAAGGTGCTCATAGAAATAGTGTTTGTGTGTGCGATTCTATTGTGTTAGTATAAATACAAAATTGCACTGCTATGTCTTCTTGAGCCCTATGAGATTGCGCTTGCACCAAAGTGTGTCTGATTACAGCATGACAATATACGAATCTCGGAGTCGAGATCATCCTATGAAAGTTAGAAAACAATAGATACAAAAAAATTCATATGGGTTGCTATTTTACAAATCAAACAATCCAAAACGAAAATTTTGTGCTAGAAATACAATATTCTGTATAAAAAAGTGCCTATGCTTGGAAGTTTTTGTATTACCTTCTTTTACAGATCAAATAAATCTATGATTCACCGTTTTTCATGAGCTCTGTGAAATCCCAGCCGCCACATACATTGTCTATACACATACACCAACAAAGCAAAATCATTATACTCCAAAAGTGCAAAGAAAATATCGACAACTTTTTACTTGTAGCCGAGGGAGCTATTTGCCTATTGTGTACAAGGAGCCAACAATCAGCTGCGACCTTTACAACACTCACATCATCCATCGTGGTCATCGTATGGATTGATCTTCACCATTATCCACTCATCCATGATCCATTCGAAGCTTCTTCTTTTTTCCTTTTTGTCAAGAAACCATTCTTTTTAAAGTAAGACCCGGCCAAAGTAAGTTCGTGGTTCAATCGTTGATTGGTGAGCATCAAGACACAGATGATGGCTTCTTGGAGCCACCATTGAGCAAGCTCGCCAGCTTTACTCTGGGCTTGGAGTACTCGCCACTCATGGCATGCTTGGCGGCAAGGCCGCTGCCGAAGTCGGTGAAGTGCACGCCGTCCCAGCTCAGCACCTTCTCCTCCGGCCCGCAGAGATCGCCGCAGCCGAACTTCCCCGGCATGAAGTTGTAAGGCGGGCCGCCGTTTCCGCAGCACACCATCAATGGCCACTCAATCCCTGAAGAGAAGAACGAGAAGACGATGAGAAGAATTCCCAGAGACTCAACTTCTTACCATTGGCATTTTTTGATTGAATTGTTCATACCGTATTTGGTGTGGTTGGCGACGAAGCCGTACTTGATGGCGAACATGTCGGTGTAGACGACGGTGGCGTCCTTGAGGCGCAGCCGCACCTCGTCGCAGAGGTCGCTGAGCTTCTTGTTGAAGGCCTGCGCCGCCCGGTTGTGGCTGGCGAGGCAGCCGTGCGCGTCGTGCTCGCCACCCTTCTCCTGCACCACCAGCGCCGGCAGGCAGCCCAGGGCGCCCGTGCCATGGATCCAGAACTTCCTCGCGCCATTGTCGTACAGGATCTGGAAAACCACAGTCGCCAACAATAACTTCTGTCAGCGTAACAGCTTGCTTGTAAGAATAAGAACATCTTCAGACGGCGCATCGTAATTTACCCGGATCGCGTCGCCGATCTCGCTGACTATCTGTCTGAACTTCTTGTCCCACTGATCGGACGGCGTGTGCATCACGCCGGCGACGTCGTTGTGGCCGATGTCCATCATGTAGAGCGCGTTCTCGAAGCCCTCCTTGCTCACCGGGCCCTTCAGTCCTGCAAGAACGCAACGACTCTTGTCAGACACATTCCTTCATTCTCCTGCAAGTTGCAACTGTGAGATGTGATGGCAACAAGGATGGCGAACCTAGCTCGATGAGCTCCAGGGATCTGCGCTTGAAGTAGACGAACTGGTCGACCTGGACATTGAGGGAGTAGGGGGAGACGCCGTGGGACACCGTGGAGCCGGCCATGGCGAAGTTGACACCGTTGCTGTAGTCGGAGCCCACTGCCTTCAGGTACGGATTCAGCTCATGCGTCTTCAGACTCGCGCCTGGAAAGATGATACCAAGGATTGAGTATGCAAGACTAATTTCCAGCTTTCGAACACAGGTAATTTTGTAGTAAGCCTCAGCTTGTTCATATGAAAGGAAGTTCCAGACCTACTTCTACCGAATTTTCGTAAGTGCCGGAAAAAAAAGCCTTATCCAAGGACAATATCTTGGACAGCTCGTTAATCAAACCATGTCCCTACACACAACCGAATGTATCTGTCACAACCATATGCTACAGAAACTTAGCTCTTATCACAAGGGAACAATAGGCACTCACAGGTGCCGCCCACCATGTGTATCTCAACCATCTTATCCAGGCTATGTGATAACTCCTATTATTGTACGTACTTGATATCCTCAATTGGATGTTGAAGCTTTCATGACAAACATATTGAAAGTACATATGCTTTCTATTCTGATTTAATGTCACCGCTATGCCTTCACCCAAACTTTTTTTGAAACTAACCTTCACCCAAACTTATTATTTACTGGAATAAATAGCATTGTGATATAAATTCGCTCAAAAACTTGGAGGGCATGCACAGATCACATATCACGCATCTCAGGGAGCAATAGCATCATGGATGGGACTGCTGTCCATGTGCACACAGTGTGAGAGCCATGAACCATCACATGGTGACACATTCTTGAGAGGATCATGGCATGCAAATTGCCCGTAATAGCAAATATTATAAACTAATTAAGGCGGCTGAATCGGAACTTATAAGTGGGCGGAAATGATTCTTAAACATCCCACCCCCATTTCCACTACAGGTGGATAAAGTTTGACCGCGCGAGCAAACATAACGCAACATGAATTAATCGCAATTGAACGATTCCTTGCACGCTGGCATCGTCATGGCATATAGAGTAACCATTAAAGAAGACAAACTGGGACAAGAAAACCATGTGGGATGTGGCTGGTGGGTGTTCAAACCCTAACTGCAATGTCATGTTCCGATCACGGCGTTAATCGCAATGTCACTGTGTTGACCCAGCAACTGACAGAACAGACAACACATGGGTGTGTAAAAATGAACCCACAGAAGTAACCATCAGCTGCATGGCTGTGATTGGAGCGGCCGTTTCAAAATTATTACTATATCATCTGCACGCTTTGGTTAAGATCTACTAGCCCAATCCCCTTTCAGAATGTACAATATTCTACTACTAAGATAAAGCCGTGCTTGGCCCGTGGCTAATTCAGGCGCTAAACGCCGTGCCTAATTCTTTTTAGTTTTACCGAGGTAGCTTTACTACACCTTTTGTGCCGAACAAAGCTGGCCTACGTTGCATAGCTTCACCCTCTGTTATTCACCTGTTTGGCCTGCCAACCTCTTTGTCTCCACAGAGATAAACAACTAGTATAACTAAGCACAAAGAACAGGTCTTGTCAAAAAATTGGATCATGCAAGGAGATTGCTCTTTCTTAACCCAGCAGTTGGCATCTACAGGCCAGCCACACCCAACCACGACTAGCAGGTCAAAATTACAAGACGATAGGTTTCTTTCTTTCTCTCCCCCGATTGGAGACGAGAAGGACAAAAAGGAGAGGGAAATCAGCCATTGTTAGGTTAGGTAGCACATGCTCGCGACTACCGCTTCAACCACCGTTTTGACAGCACCCGATATTTTTTTAAGTATCTCTTCCACGTTGAAGGCGACATGATCAGCTTGTTGACCCAGATTACTCGAGATCACCCATGACCCATCCATCCACCCACCAACCGAGCCGGCTACGTACAGAGTTCCGGTTGCTCGGTGCGCCGTGGATCGGCGGGAATTTCACGGGAACGGGTCGGTTCCGGCGAGGCGAGGATCGGAGGAAATTCACTTGAGACGATCATGTGCAATTTAGCCATGTTTCTTTGCAGCTATGCTATAGTGGTTTATAATTTCAAATTGATGACGAGCAGCTGATAAACAAGTAATCTGGAATTTGGAATTCACAATTGAGCACTCGGTTTGTTGACAAATGGCGAGATGTGGTAATTATTGACGGGCCGGAGGATATGGGTTGTGGTTGAGCAACTCACAGATGAAGTCGATGATGACGCGGCCGTCGGAGAGGCGGCCGGTGGGGCGGCGGAAGTAGGTGCGTCCCTCGGGCGGCATGATGTGGATGCCCCCGGCCGCCGCCACGCCGCCGGTGTCCGAGTTGGAGTCGCCGAAGTTGAACAGCACCACCGGCGGCTCCGCTTTCTTCGGCTTCTCCTTCTCCGGCTCCGCCTTGGCCGCGGCCACCGCCTCCCCGCCTCCTACCACCCGTGCCGCTTCGTCGCCGCTGGTGGAATTCGTGGCCACGGCCACGACGGTGCCGAGGTTCTGGCGGACGGCGCCCATGGCGGACGGCGACAGGAAGGTGAGCGACAGCACGATGACCGCCACGCCCACCGCCGCGAACACGCAGTAGTACTGCAGGCGAAGGCTGACCACCTTCGCGCCGCCGTTGGGCCCGCCCGCCGCCATGGCCATCGATGGCCCCTCGCAGCTCCTTCTCGGCTTCTCGCTCCCTTGCCCCGGTCTCTCTCACGACGCGAGCGGTGGAAAGTTTCCACTGCAAAGTGTCTACGCGCGTACGCGTATATATGGCGGGATCTTCTTTCCCCTTTTTTTCACAGTGCATCTTCTGAAATTAATTTTTTTATTGCAATTTTTTTATGTTGTTATGTTTAGAGAACTGAAATGGAGCCACCAATTGCACATGCTCCATAAATAGATGATGTTTTGAACATTTTAACATGAACCGCATATGAACTGAATTGAGTGAACAAACACAGCAAAACGTGTCTATATAAATTCGAGTCACAGAAAAACCAAAACGTCTTAAATTTGTGAACCGAGCAAGTGTTTTAGAGTGGCAGTGAAGCGTTTGGTTAAATATCTTTGTAAAATTCAAAGAAACACCCGTTAAATTTCAGGAAGTGATTGCTGGTTTGGCTTCGCGTAGATGGCAACGACATGATTATTGGAGGAGAGGTGGGGAGAGGGTGTTGACGAAGCCGCCGAGTGACGGCCGCATGGACGTTTTCAAACTCGCAAATGCGGGTGAGGGAGGGGGTGGGGTCTGGCTGGCACAAGAATCTTCTTTCCAATGGTGACTGCAAATGTACAAGTTTACGGTTCAGATCTGTTCCAAAAAAGAAAGCCTAGTGGTTTCTAGTCCTTAGCAGCAGCACCTCAGTTGGTCCCCGTTCTGCACCCTAATTATTTTCTAATAGAAGGGGGAAACTGCATAATTAATTAATTAATTAATTACATCTATTTTGAAACGGAGGGAGTAGATCACTACATGGAAATGGAATGATGGAACCAGCTGGGATGTATTCCTTGGCAGAGTTGTAATTTGATCGAACCTTGTTTGCGCTTTGACTTCTCTGACCAATGCGAAACCAAGCCAGACGGGTTCTTCCTTCTTCCTTGCCTAGAAAGTGGGCAGAAAAAGGAAAAATAGGTAGCCATGGCCGAGACTCCGAGCTCCATGTAGACCTGAAACTTTGGACGCATCTGATCTGCCTGTATTTCCAGTCTGTAGTCTGTACAAACCGGTTGAAATTTTTGCATGTTTCCATGATATGCTCCAGGAATGGTGACACCCCTCTACCATCTCCCAAAAACAAACTACCCCCTCCCAAAATATAAGATGTCACTACATCTAATGTGTGAGTACATTAGATGTAATAACATCTTATATAGCGAGACGGGGGAGTATTATATAATACTCTTCCGTCACAGTCACAACATCAAAAAAACGTAATTTTAGTGACTAATTGTATCCATGTAAAAGGATTTCCGTGCCTCATTTGATTTTTCTCAGTGTTTGCTTTCCATGTGTCACGGTCTCAATGATGCGAGTTCTTCTCCTTTAGATCTTCAGAAGTAAAAAGATATTGGATGTGTTTAGGGCACATCTAGATGTGTTCTAGTTATTGCACATCTAAGTGAGTGAATCAAGCACAAAGAGAAAAAGAAAAAAAAAATATCCACACGAATCTCAATATAAGATCAATGATGTAGGAATTAGATGTGCAATACTTATGGCACATCTAGATGTGCTTTAGTAAAACTGAAAGATATTTAGCTTAGCTTCTGTGCCACTAAATGATAAGATATTATTCATTTTTGCAAGTTAAAAAACGACAAAAGCATGTTAAATACTCATCTCTATTTAATATTTATTGATCAAAATTCAGAATTTCTTAGACAAGTTCATATATGGCACACAACCACAGACAACCTGCATATGCATTAACTTAACCCCTAGGATATGATATACGCACACTTCGATTATACATAAAGGAAAAGAAAAAGAAAAGAAGAAAAAGAAGATCCCATCTTTCACGGCGGCTGTGAGTCTGCGATTAAGGACTTCCGATGAACTCGCATTGGGGGTTAGTTTTTGTTAGTACCTTCACCTTCATCATTCCTATATCTCAAAGCATTGGGCTCACTGGACCGACGCATCATTACGAGGCCTTGGACTTGGCAGGCTTGACCAAGCTGGTGAGCTTCATCCTAGGGACGGAGTACTCGCCGCTGATCGCCATGGAGGCCACGATGCTGTTGGCCGCGTCGGTGAAGTGGACCCCGTCCCAGCTGATGAACTTGTCGCCAAGCTTGCACAGGTCCATGCTGTCGCCCATGCAGCTCTGCTTGGGGTCGTAGTTGTAAGGGGGCCCTCCGTGGCCGCAGCATGTCATCAACGGCTTCTCGATCCCTGAGAATCGACAGGAACCAACACAAGTTTATATTCACGAACAACGATTACTGAACGATGATCTCGTTGCAGCTTGTTGGCAAAGTGGAATTGGCATCGTTAACTTACCGTGTTTGGTGTGGTTGGCGACGAGATCGTACTTGATCGCGAACATGTCCACGAAGATGATGGACGATTTCTTCAGCAGCAACCGCAGGTCGTCGCAGGCCTCGCTCAGCAACGTGTTGAACCTCTTGGCGGCATTGTTGAACTTGGCGATGCACCCGTGCTCGTCGAGGTCGCCGTCGCTGGCCCTCGGCATCGCCAGCTTCGCCGGCAGGCATCCCAGCGCGCCTGTCCCGTGTATCCAGAACTTCCTTGCCCCGTTCTTATGCAGAATCTGCAGTTTCGCAAGGGTCGAACACTCAACGGTCGTTGCACAGAGTAATTAACCACTGTTTCAGAATTTACGGAAATCCGTCTCTGAACCATGTGTATGTACCTCGATGGCTTTCCTGATTTCGGCAACGAAGTGGGGAAGCTTTGCGAGCACTTCGTCGTAGGGCAAGTAGAGAATGGAAGTGATGTCGTTCTGCCCAATGTCCATGGTGTACAAAGCTCGTTCGAAATCCAGCATGTTGAGCGGGGCGGGCTCATCTGAATGACATTCACCAGGAAATAACCAACAAGTTTGTCAGTTGAGACGGTGCGTCAAAGAAACCAGAAACCTTGGTCAGATCGAGAGGGAGCAAACCTCTTGTGATGGAGTCGTTGCACCTGTCCCTGTAGAAGATGAACTGATCGATCTGCACGTCCAGTGAGAACGGCGTGTCCCCTGGCGTCGCGGTGGCTCCGGCGATGGCGAAGTTAACGCCGTTGCTGTAGTCGGAACCCAGCGGCTTCATGTAGGGGCTCAGGTGGTGCGTGTTCAAGGTCTCACCTGAAGAAGAGGAAATGGCAGAGCAAACCGTTAAACTGTCAGCCAAGTGAAGCATCGAAAACTGAAAAATTCGGATTTATTTCTGCAAATGTTCCGCATCCCAATGGAAAAAAACAGTAAAAAAACACACGTATGGGGCAGGACATGTGTTGTTTATCCTTCCACTTGTGCTCTATGAAAAAGATTCTCCATCCATATATGTTATGCAGGTGAGCTGTTGAGCTCAAAGTCGAGAGGCGTTTGATCGAGTCCACACGATAGTGTTGACTTGCATAGTACAGGAGCAGTAAACTGCAAGGCATTTTTGCCGTGAGTGGTACTCTTATGTTTAATCCTTCTTAATTCTTTCATGCTTTTGGCATTTTACAGGTGCAGTGTTTTTTTTCGTAGTTTTTTTTCTTTTTTGCTTTTTGGCAAGAATAAGATGCACTTGAACAGTACCAGCAGTCGCTGCAGGGAGCAAGTGGAGCAGAAGCATAAACACTAACATGTGCAGAAAAAATTTGATGGGGTTCCCGTGGCTAGCTTGTGTTCTTGCCACTGGAGAACATGAAACTGCCATAGATAGCCTCACCACACCAGTTGACAGAGAAGCTACTTCTGTCAGACATTGAAGCAGATCCCTCGTCTTGCTCTTGCACTCACAAGAGATAGTAGTATCTTCCGACAGTGCATAGATCTGCCTTGTCCAGGGATGGAACCAGCCATTTCACTCCATGAAGCTCAAACCCGCCCCTTTCTTGGCTCCCTTCTCGACCATCATATGCCGAATGGCTCTCGCATCATCCCATCGACCATTGACTGCATACAAGTTGAACAGAAGTACAGAACAGCATAACATCCACCATGTTGTGGCTCTAGCTCAATGAGCTGCTTCCCTACACGTTCGCCGACAGTGATATCATTATGCATCCGGCACGACGACATGAGGGCACCCCCATTGGGATGCATGTGGCTCCGTTGGCATATCCAACAACACGGTATCAGCCTCCTCAACACGACTTGCACGCCCAAGGAGATCGGCTAGGCACCCATAGTGCTCTGTCTGTGGCTCGACCCTGTGGTGCCGCATCGACTGGAAAATTCTCCTCCCTTGGTCGGCACGGCCAGTGTGGGTGCACGCGCATAAAGCAGCAACGAACGTTGGCTGATTTGGCAGAAAACCGTTTCCGAGCATCCTTTGGAACAACTCGAGTGCACGGTCAGCATGGCCGTTCATCGCAAGCCCTCCGATCAACAAGTTCCACAGCACAACTTCACAGCAGCGAAGAGAGTCAAAAGCACAGCACGCCTCGTCCATAGCACCCACACTTGTCTTTATCCTCTTCTTTTGTCAACAGAAGACACGCACGCTTTGCGTATTCGCGAAAAAGAAAAACTAGCTAGTCGGAAACTAGAAGAGGGGAACCGTCTGGATGGATCCGAAACCTCTGGCCTGTCATCCGTCTTGTGGGTGAGCGAGGATGGCGCGGCATGAATGCGGGAGGCCTGGAAGACTCGAGCGCTTGTTCGTCCAACCAACAACCACAAGGACAAACGTATTACAGTACTGCTAGGAAATTGTTGCGTCGGTGCGGATCTCTTGTTGTGCGGCCTTGTGGGGATCTATCGCTCCGACGTGTACGATATGATCATATGGGGACCGGCCGGCCGGGACATTGATTCTCTCTCGAAAACTCGAACGGAAGAAGGTGCAACTCAACTCGATTTCCCTTCCTTGTGCGGGATTGGGCCCCAGCATCCACTCAAAGGGAGAGATGTCGGTCTGAGCACCACGGGATCAAAGCGCGTAATACGGAGCAGAAAATTACTATTACTACGTGGCCGGTGGCCATGTGC